ACGTCACGGCGGGGAAGCGCGCCGCCACAAGCGGAAGGGGCGGGCCTCGTTGTGAGGGCGGGGCACGGCTGGGGCTTGCAACCTCGCGGTGCTCCTGCGTCTGACCACCGCCCGGGCGGCTTCAGTCCTGAAGCAGGGGCACGGCCCCCGCTGTCACCCGGCGCGATAACGAAAACCAGCCTCAAAAATAATAAAACTAAATAGTAACAAAAGGTAATTTATTCTTTTATCTTTGGGGAGCGAGCAGGGCTGCAACCAGCCTGGGGCATTACCCGCCGGGCCTGGCTCCAGTCAGACGCTCGGCATTTACTTCCGACAGGCACGAAGTGAGGATGACCTCTTTATTCATCAGTCATACAAGACGGGTGACCAGTGGCAGTGCTTTAATTCACAAATAACAGAGTTGAACATGGATGTACATTCAAGCATGCAACAGGCACAACATCCCGCGCTGAGAAAGGGACAGTTGCTCTTGCGCTGCCCCATCGCATCAAGTTGCTCTCCGAAACATCCTGTGCACCTGTGGGACACTGGACTCACACCAATGGAGATAGGGGAACAAAACATGGACAGGGAGCAAGAATTTTTTTCATTCATAAATCATTTGTCATGAATTCTGGCTTTTTATAGAGTGAGTAGGATGGTGAGACACTGGTCCTAGACAGCATGCCTATAACAGTCCATTTTCATTTTTTTTTCTTAGATGTAACAGTACAAAAATCCAAAGGATACATTAAATAAAGTGAATAAAAATGAGCTAGTCTGTGTTACATAAAAAGTTATGAAACTAGAAGAAAAAGAAGAAACAAATAGTGGCAGGTTATATAATTGAAAGATGTCTTTTCCCATTTGTCAGATAAATGAATGTTGTATCTGTTACACCTGATTTGTAGACTGTTCAAAATTGCCAATTAATTAAAAGATATAAAAGAGGGAACACTTCACAGAAAAAAGGGGAAAAAAAAAAAAGACACAAACAGAAGCAGGTGTCTAGTTTCCCTTTGTGCCTTGACAGCCTCCTTTCAATTCTCTCTCTACCTCATTCAAATTCTGCTATGAGGTTCTTTATGGCTCTTTCTGTGGTACCACAAAGTACTGCAGCTTCATTGTACAGAGCAGAGAGAGAAACCAGATTCTCATAACTCAGCAGAAAAAAATTCTTGGAAACTGAAATAGAAAGGGAAGGATTCTATTTTTTAAAGGGTTTTAAAAAATCCAACTAAGTGGGAAAGTACATCTTCAGATATATAACAGCCCCTGCAAGTAAGTCAAGTGTACATATGGCACAAACTTAATGAGTCTTCTTTATATACCTCAAAACAGCATGAAATCCATCAAGAAGGCACTGTTTACAATACACAAGAAATACCAGATCTATTTTCAATGCTTTCCAAGTTGAAGATATATTTGAAATACAATAATGAATTAAAATCTTATAAAAGTACAGCATTCTTATTAAACATGCGACGTATTTACAGAACAAAAGAAGTGAAGTAACAGCCTCTTAAAAAACCCTACTTTCACATTATGCTAGACAGATTATGTTAGAATCCAACTTCTGTTTCATTAACAGTAAACTGGCAAGAATTTCCCAAAAGGCACAGGAGGGCAGTGAACTGTAACATTAATGCTCTCTTTCATAGGACAACAACATGGAGAATGAATTTTTGGAGTTTTAAATTTGGAAAATAACATGCTGTACCCTTATAAGTGATGCAAACTATTCAAAAGGAAGCAACTTGTGAAATACATTACGGTATCTATTGCTGGAACTACTTATTACATGTAACATGACAGGCTTACTCTTGGGTCAGCTGAATGCAACTAGTTAAATGGCAAAATTAAAGGCTTAAGTGCATTTTAAAAACAACCAAAAAGCCACATGGAAACAAATCGTAAGTTATGAATATTTTCTACATCCTTTACAAAGGGAAATAAAAAGAGAATTTGTAATCAAGAGAGGAAACAAGTGCTCTGCTTTAAATGCTAAAAATTAGGAGGCCACTGCCTTCAGACAACTGCAAACTGTACAATCATTTTTATGACTGTGCAGAATATTTGAGATCAACTATACATCACGGTTAGATATGACATTATTTATCAAGAAAGAGGCTTCACAAGCTAGGCCTGAGATCAGCCTTACTTAAAAAAAGAAAGAAAAATTAGGCAGTAAGTTCCTTCATTCTGTTCATTTAAGGGAAATTCGTACAAATATCAGAACAGAATAGGCATTTAATGTATGTGCTTCTTAATACATGAGTAATAAGTTAGGTCAGGAGGACCTGGCTGCCTATAGTTTTTCATTAAAAATTTCAGGAAATGTTCTTTGTCTTTTGGGGTCAGGAATTCAGCATGTTTACACCTCAAGTAACCAGCTACAAATATACAGGGGGGAAAAAAAAAAAAAAAAAAAAAAAAAAACCCTTCCA